TAAGCGATGAGTCTTGAAGGGAGGATGAAGGAGGGAAAAGAATGGAACGGGGACAGGCAAAAGGCACTTTGAATGTTCTCAAAGCTCCCTATCCCCCGAAATAGAGCAAATACACAATCCTCACACAAAAATGCAAGGATAAAAGCATACGGAGTGAGGAGTCGGACGCCAGGCAGGTGCTTGGTTCCGGGCCCTTGTTGCACGCTTTGTAGGCACGTTTTGCCCGTGGCGAACACTTACCGCCTTGGGCCCAAGTAGTGCAGGTTTTACGATTGCGTTTGGCATGTTCATTGTGCCGAAAGGCGCAGTCAGGGCCCTGGCACACGGGATGGAATAGGAAGGAGCGAGGTGACAAATGAAGCGGCTCTCCGTCCTTCAAGGCGAGTGCCGGGGGGGTGGGAAAAGCATCCGACAAACTGTGCAAGCCCGGCATAAATTTTCAATCGATCGATCGTCCGGCCCTTACCTTGGTGCATTTATCGCTTAGGTAGTAGAAACAATCTGTCAACCCATTTATGTCTATAGATGTCGCCCATGCTTGTCCTCCTCCTCCTCCCCTTCCACCTCCTCCACCCGGATCTGTCCCTCTGTAGCTTCCTCCTCCCCCACCCGGACCACACTTGTACGACATGAAAGACAATTGAAGTCTCTGCATATATGTGCCAGATTGATGAGCATTGGTGGGCGTCATTGATTGAGAAAAGGGGAAGGCGGCAGAGGAAGCACTCGACATGAGACGTATCGCCAGGAGTGCTAGGATCTCGCTCAATTTTTTTTTAATAAGGTTGTAATATGTTCCCCGATGACATGTCGAAACGGGATTCGGAAAAAACATGCCTCCTACTTGGACTGTGAAGCCCACGAGAAAAATGGCTGCTTTTTAGTCAATACAGGGGTAAAACAAAGACTTCAAACATAAAAAATGAATGTACTTGACGCCCGAAATGTAGAGTGTTTTTGTAATTTTGCGTAAAATTTTCCTTCTTATCCTGATTTTTGTCGCTTACTTCACCACGAATATTTCGAAGTCATTTCTTTTCCAGCAGCCCTCGCGTAGCTCCCAACTACATGGAGCGATTCATTCTCTTGGCCAATTTTAACACCTGTGCCTGACCAAAGATGAGTTTTTCCTTGGCCGCTAAACCGCTTCTCGTGCTTGAAATGAGTGGTTACTCTCCCACGAGAAAGGCAGGCGCAGCACGTCGCTGATTTGTCGAGGCCAAATTTTGCCACAATGGTGTGTCACATTTACATTTCTATCGTATATTACCCGTTTCCCTCTTTATTTTTGATTTCGGTCCATCAAACCTTCCGTGCCCCTCTTTCTCCCCTTCCAATCAACGCGGCCGTATGTAAACTTCTGGAAGGTGGCGGCAAGCTTCTCCGTCGACTGAGCGACGTGAGTTGACGCGCTGCGTTGCGCACTCCCCTCCATACGGCGTAT